TCTGTCTATAAAGTCATGAAAAAAATTGAGGGCGCTGCGATCGTGCACGTAGCAACCCTGTGTAGTGAGACAAATGATTTTGATAGTAGGATTTTCTTTATTTATAGTAAAATAAACCGGATATTTTTTTTTACTTTAATTTCCCCAGAAAAGGTAAAGAAAGGCGTATAATTCGTAGACAATGAGTTTATTCTACATTGAAGATTACAATATAGTAATCGAAATTTTTGATAAATCTTTTTTTTTTATAATTGCCAAGTAGTCTTCTCGTTTTACTGCAATGTGTGCTTGTGTTCGATCAAAGCCTGTTACTTTGACACTCCTTGTAAGAAAACCCAATCTATTTCAGAATTTAACGCATGCAAAAACCGATCTGGATTTAAATTGTAGCCTAGAAAGGCTACAATTAAAATCCAGATCGGTTTTGGCAATCCACTAAAGTTTTCTTCATGTAGGTACCTCTTTTTTTCACAAAGTAAAAAAACTGAATCTTTTGTCGAAGTACACAAATGTTGCAGTTAACCATTTATTTCTTAGGACGACTATCTGTGTTTCCCAGGGGTTTCAGATATGCCATTTTTATAGCCTTAATTTACAATACGTATTTTCCGATTTTCCTGAAAGTAAGTTTTAAAAATGTTTTACCTATAGGTATTTGGCAGTAGAATGGAATCGCCACAATGATCAAATTAATGCTAAAATTTTAGTTATATGAAGCACAAACTTTTTGTTGGCGTACGTAGGTAACAAATCGTACATTCCTAACAGGTATATTTTTTATTCAGATTAAAAATCAATGATAAATTTGATTATTCAAAAGTATTAAAAGTTTGGGTCGCACTACAATATAGCCTTCTAACATTTTCAATCTAACCTAAAAATGCGTAATGTAAACAATACTTATTTTAGACTTAAATTCATATATTTAGTAAATTTGAAACTTCTGGTAACCAAAACACAATCAGTAATACGATTACATACCAGTCATAACTGCCGTTCGAGCATAAACATCCTACAAATATGATAAAATGTGTCCAGCTTCTTGTTCCAATAAACATCACTGAAAACTTTAAAAATAATATCCTGAGCTTCACTCCGATTAATTCTCTTCATTTTTAACACTTTTCAACGGAGTTTAGAAGAAGTAGCTTCAGTTTAATCAAAACAAATCAAAAATGCAGAAAATCGAGCTAAAACATCAAGTTGTTGACAGTTGATGTACTTTGATTCAGTGTTGTCATACTTGTGTCTAATATTAGTTCCTCAAACATTCTTTTCATGACTTTATAGACAGACTGTACGCGCGCGCGGCACAGATAACTATGGTTTTCGGCGTCGCCACACGTATCTGTTCGGTACATATAAATGTATTGACTCCAATATATTAGAATTACGAATGTTTTCTCTATCAATTTCGAAGATATAGGAAGCCAGTGTAAGCTCCCTTCTAACGCTATTACCTTATCAGGAATCCAACAGAATACTAGACTCCACCTGCTGTTTATACTCAAATGACTCCAATATATTAGAATTACGAATGTTTTCTCTATCAATTTCGAAGATATAGGAAACCAGTGTAAGCTCTAGGGTTGCCAGATAGCGAGACTAAAATATCTGGACAAAATTTGAAAAAGTCGGGATTTTGGAATCACAGTCGGGACAAAAAATAACTAATAAAATCCACTTTTAATTTATTAAATTTTATAATAATAACAAGTGTCTACTTTTTTTCAATTTATAAGATCACATAATAATGGTATAACATTTAAACACCTAAAAATTTTTTTGTTTTTGTCGGGACATATTGGTTTTTTTCGGGATTCTGGACATCATTCAAAATGTCTGGACAATCCAGATGAATTCCGACCATCTGGCAACCCTAGTAAGCTTCCTCCTAACGCTATTACCTTATCAGGAATCCAACAGAATACTAGACTCCACCTGCTGTTTATACTCAAATGATAACAGTTTTGACATTCACTGTAAGGCACTTATCTGTATTGGTTTTCATTCTTAGTATCTGTTTCATATCCGTCGGCGTCCGTAATATGACCTGTTCCATTTTAACCACGTTGTACTAGTTTACTATTAAGCCGTTCCGTTTTACGCTCGAGTGCCTCTGACATTCACGATGAATTTTGTAGTTGTAAGTAAAATTGGAGTAACTATTCTCATTTGCGGAGTTTAATCTCACTAGTAAATAAAATCGGACTTACTAGTCTTGTTTGTGTAGCTTGACAGTGCACTGTCGTTTTACCTCCGCAATCATAGAGGTGACATGACGCTAGTGCGTTTAGCAAAGTCGTTCATAGGGTGGTTGACCAATAATTTTTTATCTTATAACCATTCAATTGGTGCCAGCTGCATCTATGATCATTAGCAAACACGAATTCGCATTGGGTCTGAGAGACGGATTATGGTTCGTTAATCCTTTGTGATTCATAAGGAAGGGCTGTGCTTTAGCAATGGACACTATCGATAAGTACCTAGTTGATGAAGTTTCGTCGACGCTTGCTAAACTCTTAATTCTTTTTTGTGGCTTATAGGATCGACAAAGATCTTGAAAAGACACAATTCCACAAAAATAAAGAAAACGACAATCTGAATGAACTTTGTTGGTTTTTGATAAATTATGAGTGTCGATGAGATTAATTGGTAAACAAATATGAACTTTCTCGTCGTCTACAAAAGGTACTATCATCGTTTACAGCCTTATTCTCTTGTTCGTTTATCATAATTGACAAGGCTTGTCCATCGGCGTAGACACATTGTTCCCTTCTTTGAACTTTGAACCTATAGTAGGTGAAAAAGGTTATTTTGAACGAGCAGCTCGAGCTGTCACTAAGAGGAACCTTTGTGGTTTTTTATCAACTCACAAGCCTTATCTATCGGTTATTTTGAAAAACAAACATATAAAGCCATGAATAGTGATAGGACATTGGCTAATGTTATTGTTTTAGCGCTAGTAATCACTACATAGTATAAAACAAAGTCGCTTTCTCTGTCCCTATATCCCTGTTTCCTTAAATCTTTAAAACTACGCAACGGATTTTGATGCTGTTTTTTTTTTTCATAGATAGGGTGATTCAAAAGGAAGGTTTTTATGTATTACAAGCTTTCCGCCAGCGGCTTCACTCGCGTGGTCCGCTGGTGCCTTACTCATATATCTAAACTCCCCTCCCGCACGCGCACCCCCGCCTTGGTGACGTCCACTTCGCAACGGGCCGTGCAGCAGAAATCGTAATATGTATTTTAATTTCGCCATAACTTCAAAATCAAACGCCCAATTTGAATCATTCAAAGACCAAATATTATCTACATAAACTGTACTTAGTGATGAAATAATTTTGATAAGGATTAATAACATGAATAAAATAAACGCGTTTAAATGTGGTCCAAAAAAAATATCAAGATTTTCTAATAAAAAAATAGTTGTTGTCCCTCACGCGACATAGATAGGTATAGTGTGTCGCGGACATTATTGTAGATATTTATAAGATCTACAATTAATTAGAACATTGTATGGTTCTATCTATTATAGTTTGGACAGCGTAAGCAAAATAAGTGAATTTTCTGGTTGATTTTATACAGCTTGTGTCCGACAAACCCAAATATACTCGTGGATAATGTAGCTTTCGAATGGTGAAAGAATTTATAAAATTGGTCCAGTAGTTTTGGAGCCTATTCATTACAGTCAAACAAACATACATACAAACAAAGTTTTTTTCTTTATAATATTAGTGTAGATACAAGACTACTCGGGCGAAGCCGCTGGCGGAAAGCTAGTATTCAATAAAAGTGACGTCACATACCGTCATGAGTCGTGAGATAACGTGGGCATTCATTCAAAGTCGATTACGAGATACGTGTGATGAGTGTATTATCAATATTTATAAAATGTATTCATCCCTCAATATCGTAAACAGTATTCAGGACTTCAGCATGTATTCAATTCGAAAGATTCAGAATAAGAAGATAAGGGTAGTATCTATATATAAATATATAAAACAGTATTGAGCCCTAAAAGTATTTAAGAACTATTTGAACTTCAAATTAAAATGTTCCTCAAAGTATTGCCAAGACTGTTTTACTGTCATTTTGTTAGATTTTTGTTTTGGTCCAATGTAGTTAATATAAATAAAATCCCTCCCTTGGAAACCTCGTGTTAGAACCAAGGAAGATGGTATTATAACAGAACAAGGCAAGGCAAGGAGAATGGTCAATCGAAAAGAAAAAAGGTAAAGCGGAAAAAGGTAGAAAGAGTTGTCATGTAGGTTGTATGTGCCATTATGCACTTGATATATGATGCCTATGCGCGAGATATGGTGGATATGATTTCATAGCTTGGCCGTTGGAATCAGAGCGCGGCGTTGGCAATATGGTCGCTTTCATGTGATGGCTATGACTTCATAACATTTGTGACATACTCTCGGACGCTGATACTCGTGTAATGGCCCGAGTAATAGATGGTTCGATTAGGTTGGGTCGTGGTTCATGAATGAATCTTTGTTATCTCATACACCGTATTCCCTTTACGATAAAGTTATTTTAATTTTGAAGTGGTGTAATTAATTTTTAACGTTAGGTCCATAATGTCATACATTGTTCCATCACAATGGACAACACACTCGATCTTATAATGTTATATGCATATCTTTCTTTGTCTACAAAGACGGAATCTTTTATTGTTTACAATAACTGACTTTATGGTTGAAGACAATGCTCCTTGTCTTATTAATTGTATTTATACTTATCTTGTCGCTTCTATGAATGTTGTTGCTAATATGTAGATGTAAATTTTTGAGAATCATCAGTGTTTTGAAAAATTATATAAACTAAATACATTAAAAAGTATTGGATTATAAACGCTTAACATATCAACACAAATGTATGCGTATTTCTCCTTTCTTACATAAAAAGGAAATTAGGATATCAGTGATATCTATTAAAATCCAAAACTGATGAATCCTCATTGCTAATCAAAACGTTTTTCCTTCCAGGTACGCTTTTCCACTGACCCTCCCAAAGTGCACGTGATGCGAGTGTGGGCATTCGCGGCTCGACAAGCGAGAGCCGGTCATTGGGAACGCTGTGCATTAGACAGAGACAGATTCAAGCGGAGGTACGTACAATCATCGCCAGATAGATCGCAATTTCTAGAGTGGCCGAACTCACCTGAAACTTTGCGAAGTATCTAAGACTCGGATGAGCTATAACTAATTACGCGTACGCCGTCCTTAACCTTACTTATAGTTAAAATTGACATAAACATTCTCAGTATTCATGTTTATTTCTTAATCTGTATACCTGGAAAAAAATTGACTACAATACTTTACTATTTTAACCCCTAATAAAAATGTTATATTTTTCCTTATAAGCTTATCGAGTAACTATTGATAGTGACAAATGATTTTAGCTAATTTAGTCATTGCTATTTATCTGATGCTGCTTGTACCAACAGGTATCCTTAAATAAAAGTAAAAAATACAATTTATAAACCAAAATATGTTTAAAAAAAAAAAGACTTAAAATTCTAATAGCAATGTTACAACAGATTGAGCCAACCTAATTATTTACTCATGTACGCCTTATGTTAACCTTATCTAGTTTTTATCATCATTCTTCATGAGCATGGTTCCATAAATTCTCTGTATTAATGTTTTTGTTTTTAGAATCGCAGACGTAGATATGGCTGTATCTTGGGTATTGCACCCTAAACATCGAGCAAGAATCATGTTCCAACGGTTCATGCCCTCGTGGAACTCTCTGAAAAGAAAGGAATTAGCAGAGAAGAAAGCTAGAGAATACGAAGAAAGAATGGAAAAGGAAGAACAGCAAAAGAGTGAGGCGGAATCTTTGAAACGAGAAGAAAACTTGGTTACCAATAACGATTCAGTTAGTGATAATATTGTTCAAGTTGATGATACAGAGCAGGAACATATAAATTATAGTAACGGTAATGAAATATCTAACAATGACACTAGAGTTATTAGTGATGTCGCAAACGAAATCGAAAATAACGATAAAGACAAAGACAAAATGAACATTCTCAAATGTAACGGTTTGGTTAACAAAACGGAGATGGACGATAAATCTTTGTTGAATGATAATTCATTAAAAATTGTTCTCGCTAATGACCAACAAACTGACTTTACGTCTATATTGAAAAGCGAGGTGCTGTCTAATACTTGACAACGCTTGATATAAATCTCTGTGATTGTATACTTAGATTCTGATCTCTATGTGTAGGTTATTGTGGATACATCATCAAAATCATTAGTGAGTCTTTTGGAAAATAAACTGCAGTAATTTATTGTAACTGCTTTAGTCCATTGGTATTTTCACAACTGAAACAAAATACAATGATAAGAATTTTCAACTGATTTCACAAATTATAGACTGTTACCAACTAATTACCATAGTTATTTTATTTAATAAGCAGTTGTATAACATTCCTTTCTTCGGAAAATGTCGTTTATTAACTTGCAAATAAAAAAAAAACACAAAGAAAAAATTATATCAGAAAAATCCATAATCTTACGTTGTTGAAAGTTTTAAATCAATAATAATGTTTTTTTTCCCTTGTTAATTGGTTGGAAACAGTCTTTCAATCCTCTGAAAGGCACACACAACTCTTGTTTCATACTTAAAATGACATAGTGGCTTTGAAACAAACATGAGTAATACATAAAACGGTAACGATTTCTATGAACTTTAAACTTAGAAAGCTGACAATTTCTACCAGAAGGTTTACCAGAGAGCAGACAACTTATAGATATCAAAATGGATTTTCCATTTGTGAACTTGCAACAGAGCTGCTAACAAATTTTTTAAACAGGTTTTCCTATTTATATAAATTGGTTTATTACCATAGGAATACAAAAAAATGTATCTCAAAAAAAGTTTTTATGCCCTAGAAATTGGTGCTGTTTGGAATCTTTGTTTTCATACTTCTTTAACTCATAACAGAGTAGGGACTTTAAAACCACTCCTTATTAATAAGTGTACAATTAGGACGTCATTACACATTTGTGATAAATCATTTTTTACTATACAAATGTTTTTTTTTACAATTTTACATCTATTATTGTCTGGCTGTATCGACTCAGTGCATTGCGAGGGTCATACAAACGTAGGATCTCCTTTTAGCAAAATATATTTAATGCTAATGCATAGAAAGACAGCTCTATTTAAACTTGGATTATTAAATATTTTAAGATGAAACCAGAAGTTAGAATAGAAGAAAAACTCTCAAATACTATAATATACCTATAGAATATCGATATTTAAAAAAAGTATTGAAATTATCGACAACCCAAACCGGATTTAAAAACCTCTCCATTCTGCTATACTTTGGCTATACTTCTAAGAGATTTATTTGAATGGCAGTCTTATGGCATATTTACTGAATGAATTTTATAATAAAAAATATCATTTTTGTGAAATGTCACATGTAAGATCAGACAATGCCTGCGTCTTGTTTTTTAGAGTTGAGCTGAGGTAGAAAAATTAGGAGCTTCTATTTTATCTTTGATTATGTGTAATCTTAGATATTTCTTAACAACGAAAGATTATTATGATTTCAATAACAACACTATGTTAAGAGGTTTTTTTATAATAAATTATATGTAATACGGGTAATCAAATTTAGCACTTATTCTTTACGAAATAAGGGTTATATAAAAATATTATATAGAAGGAAAAGGTCTTTGTCGTTAAGTTTTCTACAACGAAGCGAGTCATATTATGCTAGTAGGCTAGTGAATAATTATTGTTTCTGCTCTTTATCTAACTCAAGAGTTTATTTATTTTATTAGCATTATCTTTGTTTATGTGTTTTTAGGTTACAACAGTTGTGTATCATTTTTATAATTCTAGTGATCAGTTACATATGATGACCACATCAGAAACCAAGCGAGGCATGACGCACAAAGCTAAGATTAACCTTTACAATCAAGTCGTAACTTAGCTCTTTATGATATTTTCCATATTTTACTCTTAATGAGGTGGGATTTTAGAAAGAACATGATTTTAATTTAAAGCAAAGGAATCTATCCCGAGCAGCCTAATATGCGGTAAAAAAAATCTGTTTTCACTTAAACGTTGATGTTTGACTTTTAATGTTCTAAACAAGAAGTTCATAAAAATGAGATAACCATCATTCAATAAAATAAACTGATATCTACTTGTAGGTTTTGAATTCGCACTATGAACTCGCTAGAAAGAACGCGATCGACGCATCACGTGTCAAAGTCTGCTACGTCATAGCAATTCGCACCCACGCCAGAACTTAAATATGTCGTGTCACTATATGACGAAGCCTTATCATTAAGTCCTACAATTATTTAAGTGGTTAGTTCGCAGCTGGCAATGCTTCGATCAATTTGCTTAAATCTATGTAGAGATATGCCCTCTGTACGAATGTTTTGAAATTATGCGTATTTTTAAGCCGTCCTTTCTACTAGTCAACTAGTAAATAATTACTAGTAATCATCATAAATACTTTCATGTGTCGTCCGTCTTACATGCAGGGATAATAATACTTATGATCGATCGGTCCACACGACAGCGAGTTGTCTGCGAAGTCTATTTGTGATCGTTGTGTGAATCGACCTTTAATGTTTACAGGCGGAAATGTGTGAGATATATTCCGCGATACTGATTGTTACTCTACTTGAATTATTCCAATAATTTGAACGGAATGTCGAGAGATGGTTTGCATTAATGCGCTTGGATTGATTAAAGATTGGCACATCAACGTGTTGGCATATAAAAAGTGGTGAAACAGATCTTATCACTGTGACACTACGAAAATATAGCAGCTTAGAAGATGCTAAGTGCCTACTCAATAATTATCTTATGAGACTGAAGAATAAAATAATATTTAAAAAAATGAAATAATCTTAAGATCCCGTTTTCACGACACTATTTTAGACTGGACATTCCGCTAGGACTGCCTGGAATTAGATATTTATATTTAACAGTTTCGTGGGAATGGGTTCTAATAAACTGTCATACGATTGAAAAATATGAACGCCAGATATATGTTTTAGTTATAATTGGTGCTAATGTTAATTCGTTTATTATCAACGGCTCTTATTTTGTTAAAAATCGAAGCTATTGGTTGGCGTTTGCTTTATAACATTGAGGATGTTGGCTTGAGTGTTTACCAGATTAACCAGATAATTCTTGATAGGGACTTCTTATCATGTGAATATTTTTTTCCCTCTTACCAGCAACAACCGGATCTAACTTTCACTCGTTCCGCACTGCTCAAAGCCTGATTGAATTAAAAGCGTGGCAGTTATAATTAACACGACAATTTACTGAGTGCAAATGGAATCCGTGTCGAACACACATGTCAAATTTTTATATATTGACCACTTGAATGAATGAGACTTGTACACATCATTATGTAGTAAATGAACAAAACAATAATAAAACAGACAGTACAATTGGCGGCCTTATTGCTAAAAAGCAATTACTTCCTAGTTACTTTTACATAACATATAGAATACCTACACTTGAAAAATTGGGTAGTCAATGGTGCTTTAAGAAGTCCCTATTATAAACAATAATATGTGTGGTTAAATAGATAAATTTTCTATTAAGACATAGACATATATAGTCATTCTTGCCTCTTTAAAGGAAAAAATTATTTAAAATTCAACAAACACTGTATGCTTGATTCGAATTCAATTTACACTTAACGGTCTTTCGTGCTAAAGGTACCTACCTATTCATGGCGTGTTAATTTGACCACAACACGACAAAAAGAACATGCGATCAGCCCTGCGATTCTGTAAAAATCCAGACCCGACTTCGAATTCACTTATGTGTCCGAATTCATGTCATTGAGTGTAAAATTCTATTAATTCCATTTTTTTGTATAAAAATATAAGAAAAAAATATTGGATATACGTGCTTCAGATATTCTATTCCTATGCCTTTTCTAAACTCGCTTTGCTTATGCCACGAATCAATTCAAGGTTGATCGGATGACGCTTTTTGAAATGAATTCGGACACATGTGTGAATTCGAAATCGGGTTTGGAGTTTTACAGAATCGCAGGGCAGCATTGTGCGCTATATATTGAAAAGCAGATATACATGCGGTTCAGACATTTAAACGAAAAATATTCCATTAGGAAATATCGTCACGTACATAATGTGTAAAATACAAAAGGTAATCCGTCGATATTAAACACTGCAGTCACATCCTTAGTATGTTTGTTATTACACAAATTGGATAACCATTATTGTTCATGTTTAGGATTGTTGTATATCAAAGGAAAATGCGTCGACCATACCAAGAGAATTATACGTTAGTTAAATATGCAAGGTTGAACGTTTTATTATACATTCATCTGTTCTCGCGATACGCGAGCGATGATGATACGCGACGCATTTTCCGTAAGATATGCACCAACCCTTACTTGTACGATATAAAAAATACGTTTTATTGACTGTTGATATGTCTGCGATAGTATTTTTTAAATGTATGCGCAAATTTCATTAATACTAACTTTTGTATGCAGCTCAGTTGTTTATGTAAAATATACATCTTAATAATATTTTTATTCAAACTACTTTAGTTTTTTAATTTTTAATAAGACAAAGAAATTGCCGCCTAGGAAGCTTCAACTTCCATAGCTTTTAGGTCCCACTTAAACACCTGAGTTGCATTATATATTTAACTTTTAAGTTGTAGCCATAATTAAATCCTATGTGTGTTTTAGATTTAAAAGTGTTGTTGGTGATAGATAAGCTTGCCTCTATATACCTGAGATAAATAATAATAATAATTTTATTTATATTGCAGTTGAAGTTAAAGGAATACGATTTTTATTACCTCATTGTAATGTACGAAATTATATAGAAACAATGACTAAGGTCTGGTAAATCAAAGTATTATAAATGCGAAATTTCCCTAGGGATTCGGGAGATTTCCTTGCAAATTAGAAGCTATGTTTAAATATCGGACTTCACTTTTCTTTGACTGCCATGTAAATTACTCACCGATTTTAATTGATATTATTATACACAAATTTATATGTTTAGATAGAATTATATGAACTTGTGTTTTTAAGTTTTCCATTATTATTAATTATGGATAAAGAAGAAGCTTAAATATAAACGAAAATCTCATTTATATGTAAATAATTACAATGGAAAGAATGTTTGAAATGCTAGTGTAAGCATCTTTGTATATTATACAAAATGTAAATAAAGTTGAAATTCTGACTCTTCTGATCTGTCTTTTTGTATATACTATTACTTAAAACCAAACGGGTAAAATGTTTCATATTTCAATTACAAGCTAAACTGAGTTATATATAATATTATTTTAACCATGTGGAAAAAAAATGTTTGTGAAAAAATATTTTAAAAAACTGAGAAAGGTATTAATAATATTTTTTAACAGGTCTCTAAAATCAAAATTGTCACACTGCTTTTTGAAAACACTACTTAAAGAAATTGTGTATCGTATGTGTGTGTGTATGTGTGTATAATAGTGTTATTTTTTTGTTAACATAATGTGTTAATAAAGGAAACTAAAGATTTTCATAAATTTATTTACACGCTGTATTGAAACATGTGTTCATTTAAAACTTTCGTTCTATTAAGGACTAGTTGTAATATCGACAAATTTGTTAATTTGTGAAAGATACCTCATATTTTAAAATAAATGATAATAAGATAAGTTTAGTATATAAGATAGGAAAACATTACTGTATGTAACACATTACGGGTTTGGTTTAATAATAAACGAGCCTACATTTCCTATGAAAAAGTGTTTTCTTTTTGAAAAATTAACATCATGCTAAAATAAATTTATTAAGAGTGTGTATCAATTTATGCAGCTAAAATCTCAGTCTGAAAAAGTGAGTTTACAAATAATTTTTAGAAATGTTTTTCATGTTTAAAATGATTCTCATGCATTATTCATTAAAAATGTTCTAAATTTTTTACCAAAAAATTAAGAACATTTTTAATGAATAATGCTTAAAATATCCACCTAGCCCAAGTGTATTGCAAAATTGATCAAATGTAATAAGTAGAAAGAAATTTATAATAGTACTCATGTCCAGTGGAATAGTAAAGATGCTTAGTGTAAGGAAAAGTCCTTTCTCTTAAGTTGAGATTTTTTAGAGCTGTATTTGACAACAAGTTCCTGGACACGCTCCAGCCGAGCCGTGTTCTACAATTGTGCAGTGTAACTTTTATATATTTTTTGAAATTAAGAGCAAGTTTCTCACAAATTTTAACATTTTTGAAACTCTTTTATGGATGTATTCCATAGTGATTCCATATATGGTTCCATTCTACATACTTCAATGCGCGACGCCACCACGCATCTGACCTGCAGAGGCACTAGGCTCTGAATGATTGATTTTCTTATTATCCATTATACAGGAAAGGTAAAAAAGCTTGCACATTTTTGTGAGGAACTCTGTTAAGTTGCAAGATCCTATTAATATTATAAATGTGAAAGTTTCTTTGGATGTTTGTCGGTCAATCACGCCGAAACTAATGAACGGATTTTGTTGAAATTTGGTGTACAGATAGGGTATTAGCTGACTTAGATAATAGGATACTTTTTATCCCACTAAACATTTCCCTAGGGACCACGCGGGCGAAGCCGCTGGTGAAAGCTAGTATTCAATAAATGAATAATAAATCAACAACATAACATTAAAAATAAACTGCTAGCTATTCCTATTGACATGACTATTCTATATTACAATAAATAATATCAAATAAGCTATTAATACGGTTTTCATTTTAAATTACTAATACGATACAAATTTGTTTTGAAAAACAAACAATATCATAGATTAATTATCGATTAATTAATTGGTTGATGTTCCCATTGGATTGTGAAAATATTTTATTTACTTATAATGTAAAATAACGATATATTATATAAATTTGATACACAATAAAACAAGGAACTTTTGATGGTCTTACATGTTTATAATATACTTTTTATAATATTTAATTCTGAAAGTAAGAATGTTTTTTGTAACTTACTTAATTGAAAATTGCTTTAAATTATGGTTAATCGACTTTAATTCAAGTTATGGACAATACTATTTTGTTTTTGTTTTGTCTATGAGTTAAAAAGGTGGGAGTAGATTGATTGATTGGTAGTAGCGACGTTCATTTAAAAATACATCGATATTATTGCAATGTATTAATCGGAATGACTGCATTGATTTTTTTCGATTCGATATAGTGTTGTTGGCATAGTTTTTAGTTATATCAAATAACATTTTGTTGGGTATAAGTGAATTAGTAATCTGAAATACGATAACAGTGCGATAACATGGCATTTCTGGTTGCCGAGAACACTCCTTTAGAATTGGTCTGGTAAAGTTTTTGCACATAATTTTATTTTAATCTGACTTTACTATTGAATGACTAATTTATGGGCCTGGGGTTTAAGTGTTCCTTGTTAACTAGACTGAAATTTTTACTTGACATTGGCATTATGCAAAAACCGTGCAATGCCAGAATTGAAAAAATAGTTTATGGCATATATTGTAGGCAAAGGAATATAGTCAAACAGTCTCAACAACATGCCAAAATTACTATTACTGAAAATTTTAAAATTAAACCTAGAACAGAGTTAGAATAATTTCTTTTTTTCTTATGAAACAATGTGCTGTTTCTTCAATATATTGAATGAAATACATCGTAAAATATCGACTATAATCAAGATATTGAAATGATATGATTTATCGTATGGTAAATATCATTGTTTCGATGTATTGATCGTCGAGCATCGAGCATCCCTAATTGGTAGTCTATCTTTTGATGATGTGCCGATTCGTTATTATACACATCAATGATTGATTATAGCATTACTCATAGTATCGATTATAATCAATTCATGTCAATAATTATTAAATATTTTTACTCCAAAGTTTATTAATGATTTCAGATTAATTCCACCGTATTTTAAAGTCATCCAAGTTAATGAAAAATAGTTAAAAATCAGTTCAAAAACAATGTTTGCTATACCAGAAGTGTGCATGCAAAATTTATAGAATTAAACTAGCTGTACCCACGATTTCGTCTGCCTGGAAAGTAGCCTTAGTAATTCCTTATTACATAAGCTATCTGCCAGTGAAAGTCCCGTCAAAATTGGTCTAACCGTTTCAGAGTTTATCCGGAACAAACAGACAGACAAAAATGTAAAAAAATATTATTTTGGTATAGGTATGTACCTTGTACAATTGTACATGTGCATTTAGTAAGAAACGGTTACTTTGTATTTGTAAAAATAAAACTGTATGATCCGTTCATTCATTCATAGGGAGTTCCCCGACCAAAGAGTAAAGTTACCTATTTGTTCGTGGGAGTAGTCCAGGGTTGCCATAATAAGTAATAGAATATTTACTAATAATATTCACACTCGCGATCCGCTATAGGATGCTGAGCCATCGAAGTAAAGTAAGTAGGTACTATACTAACGTTTTAAACTAGTCCTATTGCTAACGTTTTAAGAAAGAATCGATGGTTAATTGTTGATTACGAAATCATAATCGATAGCACCTGATTATTTGAAAAATCGATTAATGATAATCGATTCCGCACCCACTCCCACTTTCTTTATTCTTTACAAAATGGCTGAACTGTAAATACGTATTTTTCTGCAATTTTCGCTACAATGGAGATCAACAACGTTCAAAGTTTCGTAAACAAATTTACAAGTAATTCGGTGTTTTTGGAAGACAGTGTTAGTTGTAACACAGTGGATAACGCGCGGAGAAGAGTAGAAGTTTCTGGCGTGTGGTTTTCCCAGGATTTGTTGGCTTTGAAGTGTTCTTTAAAGTGGTGTGGACAGGTGTACAAGCCCTTTCCTGATCATTATCCTCATAATATTAGCGACTTCACAATGTGTACGTGAGTGAAAATGGCCTAGCATCCTCATAGACTTAACATAAATAGTGTGAGTGTGTGTGTGTGTGTGTGATACATTCTGGAGGGAAAGATTGGCGCACTAAGCATTATATCAACATGTTTGACCCTCAAGGATATAACATAGAAAATTACTTCACTGATACGCATAAAAAAAAAGCGAAGAACTTATATGGCGACGATCTTTTGAAAAACCTGCATTTACTTTCCGACCCTTTAAAAAAGAATTTGGCTGACAACATCGTGGTAACTGAAGAGAAAAAACAGAATATTAGAGACAAGATGTTGTTAAACACGAACATGGAACCGGCAAAAATGGACAAGAGTACCAACCACAATCATACACCAACATTTGCTGGCATTACCAATTTTTTCTCAGGAGTTTTGGGCGTAATATCTGGCGCTATTGCTAACTGGCGGCCAAAATCGCCCGTCCAGTACTACGATTGTTTTGACGACGTCAGCCTACAGGGGTCGCCACTGTCTTGGCACAGTTCCAATGATGAGGTTCAAAATAAATCAGTGCAGGATATCCATTCAATTTCAAAATCAGACATGAATATCGACTGTAAGACAGCAGCGGCGCAATGCGAAGATAAATTGAATAAGGTAAGGTTGTTATTGTCAAGTAAACCAGTTGAAAAACCTAAATTTCGACAAAGACGACTTAAAAAGGCATTCGTAGAAGCGGGCTCAGTAGACGAGTGTTTTGAAGATGCATTCACACCAGAAGATTTTATTAGAATTTCCAATAGCACATACATTGAGTATCATGGTCCATATAAAATTGAGAATCAGAATTTATTGCATACAGCAGCTCCAAAGATAAAAATAGAAAAAGTTGTTTATGAGAACACAGATATAATAAAAACATTGCCAGAATTTCCTATTAAGTGTAAGGAAACTATCAATGAAACCAACGACATACCAGTAAAGCAAACCACAGAAATAAAAACAATGGAGGATATCAGAATTGATGATAATATAGAAGATGTACCAAGCAAACCAGAAGTGGTTTCATCATGTGAAGATAAATTGTCGAAACTGAAAGCATTACTCCAAGAAAAATGTAAGAAGAAGACAATGAATAATCACTCATCTAATGTCAATAGCAAAGTAACAATGCAAAGTAACGATAAACATGTAAAGCCTTTAAAACCAAACATGAAAGTAAAGGATAAGTGCTTTAAAAATCCTTGCCGCACAACCAATAAACGTAAGGAATGTAACCTCAAAAAGAGTATACAAGATGATCTATTATTTGCTCAGGAGATGAATAGTGAAAATTTGTCAAACATTGGGAATTCTCCATCGGTAAATTCTTTGGATAGACTGTCTGATACCTCTGATTCATTTATAAAAACTACAGATGTGTCTAATGATACAGATAATTATTTTGATGAAGTCAGAGGTCGTTTTCGTTCAACATCAACAACTGAAAGTGAAGACTCATTCCAAATTGTTTTCAGCGACAGTCCAAAAGACACAAGAGTAAGGAAGATGTCAGATTGTGACTCTGAAGACTCTTTTATTGTGTTTGAAGAATCACCAGACAGTTGTTATACTTCAAATGATGTATTTGGCGATTCTGATGAGTCCGACACTGAATATACAGAAATAGAGGCCAATTTGAGTGACACTGAAGACGTGCAAGTGACAAAACTTACCCATACACTATCAAGAACAATGAGTGATTTGACAGATGGCAGTCTTTATGATGAAAACTCTTTAGATGAAGTGGATTGTGCAGTGCAGAGTGTGTATGATGAGATTCCGATCCAGGAAATAAAAGACTTGACTGTTAAAGCATCTGCAACAGACAATACAGTGAAATCTACAGGACTTCTCTTAAATGAAGACAGGAAGAAGCAAAAACAGAAACTTCCATCAAAGACTGTAAGTACAATTATTGTTTACTTATTTAATTAATTTGCCTTATATGAATACCAATTCAATATTTTGGTGTTCTGTTCTTTTTTTTTTTTACTTAAATGAAGTAAATCATCTATTAATTTGTCGAAACTCTAAGCATGTCATTTAACCATCTGTCAAAGGAATCATCCTGTATTGAACAAACTAGATTATATAATAGGTATGTGTTCTCATATACACAGTTCACAGTAGTCATTTCTTTTATATTCAGTTTTTCAATAGATTATTTTCAGGTATTGGGAATATTCAGTACACAAATACATAAAGATTTTGCTTCCAAGAAGTTTTATCAATGTTCCATTTAAAATGTTCCCTGCATTCATGAAAATAGCTTTGCCACCACACATGCAGCTCTAGCGTCGTACCTGACAAATCATTTAGGGCTCTATTACAAATTAACAGGGCTTCAGTACGCAAGATGCAATTAACAGCTGTACAGGTACATGCAGTATAAGATACTTTCAATCCCGGACCGGAATACTATAAAATGTTTTCTCTAATCTGGTATGTACCAGCAGAAAACTCCAGTGTAAAGTCAGACACTTTGCTGCTTTATTGCAGCAGGATAAAACTAGGTCCATATGCCTTATAATTTTTTTTCCATGCAGAATAAGAAACTAGTAATATACATATACATACAGTATCTGTTTTGGTTTGTATAATGTGATAAAAAGAGATGTATGAATTGGGATTGTTATATAAGGAGAATAGATGTTTGATATATATGATGTTACCAGGAATTAGTCTATGGTTAGTTATCATAGTTACATGAGGAACAAAGCAGAGTCAGATATTATACAGTCATATCTCACTCACGACCCGTTTCTCAAACCTCGAGTTTGTTATACTACACACATTTGTGTGTCTGACTGGAATCACTCCAGCAACTTTGCAACCAAAAATTTGCAGTCATTCTTATATCCCTTACTTATCCATTTTTTCTAACTGTATTGTAAATGAATTTCTTTTGAGTAAATTATTTAATTAAACCATTTATCAGAATTCAAGGCGTTGCAATTTGCTTCACGCTATAGAAATTAATTGAAGTTGTTATAAAATGGAAGTTTTATTTAACGAATATTTTATGAATCTCTTCCGACAATATTAATATACAATGTGATATCTTTTGTGATGCAGTTTACATAAAGAAAACATCATGTAACTGTATTGTTTTGATAATGTGCCAGATAATAAAAGTGTCTGTATGCCATCTTTAATATGCAAGTCTCTTGTAATGTCTACTAAACTAGTCATTAAAACAAAGTTGATAATTTTTCAAAAGTTTATTTTTATAGTTGAAATGATAAAGACAATGTTTATACATTTTTTGACCTCTTATTTTATTTCCTTCTATTTTGACTTTTGAGTCTCCTCCCTCAAATGAAATGGAATAGAAACAGACCATCATATAGAATAGAAATACAGATTAATTTCTTCCTGAAACTGTCCTCTAGATTTTTCAATATACATATTTATGAGTGTGGACGTTTTTATATTGAATAACTTCGATGGGTTACCTCAATATCGTGTCACTATATCAATATTGAAAGCATAAGCAATTGATGAAATTTTAAGAAAGCACTGAGTCTGCTATTGGAACAATCATTTGTGTGATTCAAAGGCTTTCTGTGATTGGACGGCTACATATGTAGCGGTAGTCAGGCAGTTGCAATATGTTTATTTGTGATGCAACTGTAAATAATGCTGAATCATGACCTGAAGTTATTTGTGGTAGACTTGTGTACCAGAGAACAGTCACCAAGCAGAGTCCAACTATAGGGGCTATTGTATGCAAATCGTTTAAAGAAAATTTTCAACGATAATTATAGTTTATGTGACAAAACATGGTTAAAGAAGATATTACAACAGTAAATACTCTTTAATGTGTGGCTTTGTCCTTCAAATTTACAAAGTATAAACTATTTAAAACTTTACTAGTAGATATCAGTATCAAATTTTTTAAGTGTAATTCATTCTTTTCGTTTAAAATATCTTTGAACCGTGTTTAATCAGTAACCGATGAGGATTCGCACGAGTTCGTCCAATTTAATGTTTAATGTTTTCTAACACCTGCAGTAATTAATGACCGTCAGTACTTCAGACACTACACACAACCTATACACGAATACACCTCTCAAGAATTACATCTTCATGTGCCATCTTCATCGAAGAGGTAGGATACCAAATTACGCTTTTTTCACGTGCCATTTTCACCGAGGGGGCCGCCTTATTTCTGCTTATGCTTTATGTGAATAAGATCAATTACTGAACAAATAAACAAACAAATATTTCGTTACCTACAGCGAGATTATTGCAGTTATCTAGGCTGATGAGACTAGAGCTTATTATATTTTCTCCTGTGTAGTCTAAGCCTATAACTTTTTTCTAATGTATAAGAGTTTAATTTTAGGGTTCCGTACCCAAAGGGTGAAACGGGAACGCTATTACTAAGACTTCGCTGTCTGTCACCAGGCTGTATCTCAAGGTCCGTGAAAGTTAAACTGTAAAAATTTTCACAGAGGAGAAATAAATCACCTACAACAATAAATACTAAAAACAGAATATTTTTATTTTTTTAATTTTTTGCTTTTTTTTTTGTATAGTTAACGGTACGAAACCCTTTGTTCGCGAGTCCGACTGGCACTTGCCCGCTTTGTTATGTTACTTTTAATTTGCTAATCGTATTCAGTAAACAATATTGCAACTATACTAAGGTTACCGATACTACTGCTGTACATGTGCCGTATTTCAACAAACTCCTAACATTATTGTGCTCAAAATTACATAGTATAAGCAATTAGAGAACAAAAACTTAGTTAGCCAAAATTAACTACAATGGCGCCCAAATAGGGATCTATAACACTGAGAAATATTTTGGCGCATTGGTTCCATTGAGAATTTAGAGCATTTTTATTCTTGTTATGATTACGTTACGGAACGTTTGATGACAGTGCCAAGCCAACTGACGTCGGTATTCTATTGTTCAAAATTGGTTCTTGATTGATATTAATGGAAGTTTTAATAATTATTTATAGCAAACATAAACATATAGATGACTGCAAAGACATCGCAAAGTAGCGTTATTTTCTTTTAATCTCGGTGTCGATAGCCGACATACCGACGTTGTTTTTGATTTACATAAAACAAATTTATTTATACAAATGTTTCACATTCTCTTAACACATTTGTTAAAGCCAATACAGAATAGTTACATAAAGTCGTTTTTACATTAATGATGGAATGAATCAGTATAGCTTTTACATTTTCATGGATTATTTTTATGTGCTGTTTACAAATTTTAAATATTGAATAATGATAGTTGTATAAGTATATCTCGGTAATTAATTTCAGCAATGTCAGCCTTATATATTTTTATTTCCTTTTAACCTGTATAAACTATCTGCCCGCGTAGTGACCAAGTCGAGATATATTTGTCTTGTGATTCCACTTTCCTCGTGTGTGTATACAAACCACGACGACTCGTTTCTCGAGTCTCTCGAGTTCATCATGCCACAGCTGCACGCATGGCGTGATGTTTTCAAGAACCATTTTGTCAATATTTTTCTCGAGTTGAGAGTGACATATTGTATGAGCGTACCCGAGAAAAATCATATTTGGGTGTAGGTAAAGCGTTTTGATCGATTTCGTCATGCTACTCGTACAGGTTTAAAGAAGTAATTAACTATTTCGTCAGTCTTACAGTATTCATCCATGGCCTAATTCTCTTAAGTTACAGTTTAGCGTTGTATTCTGAAATAAAAAACGTATACACACAGTCCGAAGTACGTCACATTGTAATTTACCATTTTTTTCCTTAATGTTTACATTCAATCTATCACGTTACTAGCATAAAGCACCGGAATGTTATCACGAATACACATAATGTTATATCCACTCTTATGTTGTTGTTTTTAAAGACTCATGGATGTGATTGATGTATGTTTATGTAGTCGGATTTGTAGAAATAATTAAATTCTAATACCGTAAGAATAAAAATGTCCTGTTTTACTTTTTTTTTTTTAAGCGGTCCAGAATTGTTAGTTTATTAATATACATTATAATAATAAACTAACAATATATATACGGTATACGGTAAACTCATTCTAAATTCTATTTTACTAGAATGATCAATTTTATGGTAACTGGTTATAAGACTAATGGTGAAAAAAAATAATTGCCCAGTCATGTGATGACACATCCTAATCAAGGTAGTCACAATCTGAACTCACTGTTCAATGACTTTGTAAAAACCACACTGGAATTAAACACAAGTCACTGAACGGTGAGTTCACCGTGTCACCTTTACTATATCTTACAAGGTTCTTGCTTGGCCATTAGTTGTTGATTTTATTGTTGTTTGGATTCATGCCTGGTAGTTTAAAAAGATAACTTATAATATTTTTAATATCATAGCAATTGCGAATCCAGACCATGATATCTAGAACGAGCAATGCCCCACATTGCTTTGTAGGTCGCGTTCTTCCCAAATCCGCCTAAAATACGGGATTCCCTAGAAATTTCGAAACAATTGGCATCTTTAACAAGGACTTATGATGAGTCAATATGACGATGGTGTTCCCCGTTAAGGTGTTGACCAACTGCTGCGCATGCGCATGCAGAGGCCAAATACATATATGTACTTGCCTTTACTATTCCCCACGGCAACTTACGGACATATTACGCGCAAATGCGTGGTTGATAACGTCATGACTATTAGTGTGATCTTTGATATATCACGCAAATAACTAAGAACTGTTATGAGAGAACGCGACATTATTATGTATACACAGTTGTAGGTCTATATCAGTACGTTAGGTCCCTCCTTGCTAGATACCGGATTCATCCATCTATGTGAGGTAACGTGTTTTATCGGGTAGGTCAGCTACACTTGACCTCGCCCCTCGGGACAGGCCCTGGTGAATAGAGAGCTATGATCTGAGGGATAAGGAGCATTTCCTTTTAAC